CAAAAGGGACCACTCTCCTGGTGAATGCATGGGCGATTGGAATGGATCCGGCAGTGTGGGAGAATCCCACACAATTCCACCCGGAGCGCTTCTTGGGGAGCTCCATCGATGTCAAAGGCCACAACTTTGAGCTCCTCCCGTTTGGATCTGGGCGGAGAAAGTGTCCGGGAATGGGCATGGGATTGCGATCAGTGGAGCTGCTCGTGGCAAATCTCATCCATGGCTTCAACTGGAGCTTTGTGCCTGGGACAACGCCGTCCATGGAAGATGTTTTCTCCACTACTGCGCAGCTCAAGACCCCATTGCAAGCCATGGCGACTCCAAGGCTCCCCAAGGAGGTCTACATCAAAGTTTAGAGATCACTTAGTGGACTTTGCTACAAAGACTATTCTACTCGTATTTACTCCGCAGCTCAAGACCCCATTGCAAGCCATGGCGACTCCAAGGCTCCCCAAGGAGGTCTACATCAAAGTTTAGAGATCACTTAGTGGACTTTGCTACAAAGACTATTCTACTCTTAATAAATAGCTGGTTTTTCCATGTCTATAAGATCATATGTAGGCTTTTGGATTGCAGCAATGTGTTTGTTAGATCCGAATTCCAAGAAGTGTTCAAGGCTCGCTCGCTCGATCGATCCAAAAGAGTCTCTTTCTCATTTATGTATTAAGTAAGCATCTCCAAAGGTTGACCGTCGAATTTCCCGCTCACTTCAAGCCGACGCGACGTTGAGCCAATCACAGCGCAGGACCGAGGGATGGGCAATCTTAACCATTGAATTTCCCGCTCACTTGAAGCGGACGCGAGGTTGCGCGAATCACAGCGCAGGACCGGGATCGGCCCGAGCACCGTCGGATGAACCTGCCCAGTACCGTCCGATGCAGGTAATACTCAAAAACCATCCGAGAGCATCGTGAAGGTCCTGCTCAAAATTGGACTGAGCCATCCCTTCTCACTTTCGCAGCTACGTTTAACTCTTTCGTGCAAGACACAGCGGGAGAAATTCTGTAAAAAAGCTAGCACACAAGTGCTGCTCGAGAAAACCAACTTACTTCCAAGGACGCCTTTTTGGCAAGCTTCACGTTGGTTGCTGTGGTCTCTTCGCCTGTTGCGAGGGTGATGCGAGCCTTTTGAAACAGCCACCTTAACGTTCGAGCGTCAGCTTTCCTTCTGTGAGAACAAGCTGAGAGGCCGCCATTTTGAGCGCTGAGACTACATCCAGATTTTGCAGCCTGTAAGAAACCCTTTCGGCATCTAGACTGCCAATCAAGCTGTTACCGGAGTCGAGGTTGCAAAGTTGAGCCTTGAAAGCAACAACAAAGTTTGCTCAAAATTCCCACACGATCCAACCGGTTCATGCTCCACTTGTCTGACGATTGGCGATTTGTTTCTCCAGTGAGACAATGAGAAAAAGGCCTCGATGGTAACGAAGCATGGAGCTGCACGAAAATTAACGAGAAAAAAAACAGAGGTTTTTTTTCTACCACGACTCCACCACGAAATCACACAAAAGCGCTTGCTCAAGAGAATCAGTTTGATTCTTGTCGGGATGCCCCCACACGCCGGCGCAGCGGCCCTGCCACAAAAAAAATCGTGTTTTGGCACAGAAAGAAGCAA